AGTTGCTTGCGAAGGGAGTCACACTCCATCTCTGCATCTGTCGCTCTGTCTCTTGCATCTTCCAGTTGCGTCTGCATCTCTGCAAGCCTTGCAGCAAAACCATCTTCACTGAGATTGGCAAAGAGCTTGCTGTCTGCCTCCGAACTTGAATCTCCAGTACCCTTTTTAGTCGTAGGCTGGAGGTCTTGCTGAGGTGGTAATCGTTGTATTTCCTGCGCATGATGATCCAACGGAATCATCAACCCACTTCTTTAAGCTGCATCGTGTTACATGTTGCATCAATTTGTAAAAGGTATGGACAACTGCTTTAAAGTAAAAGTCAAGATTGGTTGATTGGTGTCACATTGCTGGTACAAAAAGGCTTGGGAAACAACTTTGCCCAAACGCAGTGTGCGTGCGTGTGCGTGTGTGCACACCCTGGAATGATGGGTATCTGCGGATTTGATATGACTTAATGGTTTAGTTCGGCAGGGGGCGCAGGGGATCTTGATGAGTGCTGCCCAACGAAGATGCTCGACAAAAATCGTGAAAACGTACCTGCAGTGATGACCTTTTCACTTCCTGTTGGGCTTCTTTTGATTCCTTTTGTACCTAGAACATCCTAGAACAAGATCGCTGGCCGTTGCGCTGGTTCTGCTTTTACCTGACCTCTTAGGCCTTCTCACTTACTCAGGTTTCGTCAGGGTTGGGCATTCATATCGTACGTACATCCGATCTCAAGTCGCGTGTGTGTCGAGAGGCTCAGCAAACAAATCTCCGCTTAGCCGCTAAGCGGCTTCCGCAAGTATGCGTCAAAATTGGTTCCGATTTGAAGGGGCCTGAAAACACCGCTCGAAGGAATTCAAAGGGGGAGATGTAGAACAAAATAGAATCGAAATTACTTTAACTTGAGCTATCCCCACCCAGCCAAGCTGTCTTCGTGAGGTCATATTTTGACTTGCTATGCCTTTGTTGCTTGACCACTGGCCCGTTCTGGCAACGGACGACCCTGTTTCGGGCGGGCGACAAGGCAGCTTGAGAGAGAGAGAGAGAGGAGAGCAGGCCCTGCCCTCAAATTTGATAAAACAGGCATTTGCCTTCCGAAAAATAAAACATAAATAATAACATATAATAATTTGTATATATTGCTTTTGATCTACCAGTATACATCTATACCGGGACCCGAAAAAGGTCGGCTCTCCTGAAGCTAGTAGGTTGTAGGCCATCGCTATTAGGTTGGAGGCCATCGCTACAGTAGTAGGTGCTCTCCTGAAGTTCTCGCAGTACTTCCATCTCCACCAAAAGGTGTCCATTTCGAGCCTTTGCCCGTCGGAGCGTCTCCACCACCTCCGCCTCTCGGCGCTCGGCTTGGGCCAAGGCCCCTCGAAGCTCCGCCACATCCTCATCAGTCTGGGGCGAGCAGGAGCTACTAGTAGCTTCTTGTTACTGGTAGCGATGGCCTCCAACCCAATAGCGATGGCCTCCACCCACTAGCTTCTTGCTACTTGTCTTGGGGAACACACATTGACAACATCTTTCAACAGTGAGTTGTCCATTGTAACCATTGTAATCGTCTCAAAAACGACCTGTCTGAGTCTGAGTGACCAAATAAACTCTAAAGAAAAGAGCCTCTCCTGCTTCAATGCCGTGCTTTGCTTCTCGTGGATCATCGCTGTCTGCTTCAACTGAGCCAACTCAAAAGTAGCAGCATGGTTTGGATCCTTCAGGGTCCTCAGCCAAGTTGGCACTTCGGAAGAGTTTGAAAGAACCCTCTGCACGCGGAAGCACCAAAGATACTACGGTACAAGCTGATCTGACTGCATGATCTGTATCTTTCAGGAAAAAACAGTAAAAACGTCAAAATTGTACTGCTTGCAACCTGCAGGCTTGGGCTGCAAAGATTGTCCCATCCAATTCTTCACCACTAGAGCCTGCTGCCGCAACTGCTGAACCTGTTCGATAGCTTTGTCGAGACAAGGCGGTTGCAAAGCCAGCTGGCGGCGCAATCGACTCAAGGCATCCTCGGCCTCAACGGTCCATTTAACGGGACATGGCCAAATGTATCTGGATGCTTGGTGATCTTGAAAGTCTGTTGAAACGCAAGTTTAGACATGTGCCAGCCGTGGAATTCGACTCTTCTCTGGGCACTATCTGAACCACAAGCAAAGGCTCATCAGCCGTTGCCAGGAGGACCATGACAACCAACTACCACCCAATATCAACCATGAAACAAAAGAATTGCGTCTGTTTAGTCAATTGTCCATGATTCTCCTGCGCATCTACCCCTCCTGTAATCTCGTGTGATTGTCGTATATGCTCATACATGCCCCATATCGCACACTGCTGGATGTTGCCTGCAGGATCTGGATCTCCATCACATCCCAAGGACTTGCATCAGCTGGGGCCATGAGCTGCGCAGCTCAACTCCCGTCACAGGAGCTTTCTGAAGATCTGCAAGGCAAAAATGAAAGAGAAGCGTAGAAAGCTATGTAAATTTGATTGTAGAAGGTGTGTAGATGGGAGTGAACTCGGCTCTGGTTGAATGTTGTACTGGCAACTTCCTGAATGCAAAGGCATGCTGAAAGAGTTCACTGTGCAGTGCGACGTGCAACTATAATCACTTGGATCCAAAAGACTTGAGCCAAAGGATGGCAACCCATGTCCATACCACAGTAGGAACTTGCCAACAGACTTGTGACTTTGTTGCAACTAACTACTGTCAGTGTCTGTCAGTACCCTCCGACCTTCTACCAGCAACATGTTGCGACCGCGGCCTGTACCCTTCTATATGTGGCATACCTCAAAGACGATATCCAAAGAGAATTGATCGAGCAGCTTTGTTCTCTTGCCCACCTTTCCTTTTTTGCCACTGAACAATCACCCATCAATCCATCGTGTCCAGGGCTACCTCAGACGAGTGGGTTGGGGGTCAGACGTCTCGAGTTGGCGGAGGTATGGAAAAGACAACGACTAACGTGGCACTTGTTTCTATTAGCTTCTTTGTTACTACTAGTAAGGCACCTGTTACTACTAGCGTGGCACTTGTTTCTATTAGCTTCTTTGTTACTACTTGTAAGGCACCTGTTACTACTAACGTGGCACTTGTTTCTATTAGCTTCTTTGTTACTACTAGTAAGGCACCTGTTACTACTAACGTGGCACTTGTTTCTATTAGCTTCTTTGTTACTACTAGTAAGGCACCTGTTACTACTAGCGTGGCACTTGTTTCTATTAGCTTCTTTGTTAC